TGCAGCCCCTGCCCGGCTCTGTTCCCTTCCCTGGCCCCGTTCCAGCCCCTCAGGGTCCCTCCTGTCCCAGAGCTGTCCCCAGCCCGGGAGATGCCCAGCAGTGCCCAGGGGCTGTCACACGGGGCTGGCACAGCCCAGGGACCATTGCCCTCCTACCCACCTGGGCACCCCTAGGGCACTGCTGGTAGTTTGCTCACTCAGGTCTGGTGCTCCAGCCCAGCTCAGTGAGGGGATTTAGCTGGCTCAGACCCCTGTGCTGGGCACCCAGTGCCCGCACTGGTTTGCACTGGTGTGTGCTGAGCATTGCCTCATTTACTGCCGTCAGAAGAGCTCAGGCTGAGGCGGAGCAGCTGCTGCTGCCAGGCCACCCCCGGCTGCTCTGGGTGCCAGGCTGAGCGGTGCCCAGTGCCAAGTGCCAGCACTGGTACATCCCAGCCGCATGATCCCGCTCTCCCAAGGCTCTCCCGGCAGCCTGTGCCTTATCTGGAAGCTGCAGCCCCAGGACTGTGACTCACAGGGTGCTGAGCTGCAGCATCACACTCAAAATCAGGCACCCATCTGCAAATAGCAGCGAGAGGGGCAGAAAAGGAGCCAAACTCGTACTGAATTTTGGGTTCTGTTTGAAATGTTTGATTGGAGATCAGGATTATTGCCAGAAATATTGTGGAATATTGACAGAATATTGCCCAACAATCCAACACAAACACTGCTGTCTGCTCAGCACCAAGTGCAGTGAGTTCTGCTCTGACAGCTCCCACTTGCTGAAACTGCAAGAGGGAATGAGAGATACAGAAAGAGGAAAGCCGTTTCCTATCTTTTTTTGTACACAGGATGTTCCTAAAGGGAGAATTTGTTAATGGAAAGGGTGTCACAGACATATTTTCTGAAAAATCATTTCCTTAAGATTTTTTCTCCTGAGAAGCTATGTAAACAGTGATTGTCTGCTGCTGTAAAATGCAACAAGTAGAGCTTTGATTGGTCTCATGTGGTTGTTTCTAATTAATGGCCAATCACAGCCCAGCTGTCCAGACTTCTCAGTCACAATCCTTTGTTATCATTCTGTTTCTATTCTTAGCCAGCCTTCTGATGAAATCCTTTCTTCTATTCTTTTAGTATAGTTTTAATATATATATATAATATATTAATAATATATAATATATTAATAATATATAGTATATAATATATTTATAATATATAATATATAATATATATAATATATATATTAATACTATATATATAGTATTAATATATATATTTCCCATTGCTTAGAGCAGCAGCCTGGTCATTTGGGGATATCACCTGTGCCCACAATTTCACAGGTAACATTTGAGGACAAATCACCAATCCCACCCTTATCTAACCCAAATCCCTCTAGGAGACAGAGCAACTTTGTGGGGCTTCAGTGAGTTCAGGTGACACCAGATTTGGCAATTTGAAAGAAACAGGCTTTTCTAGATAATTACATTATTCAAGACAATGAAAGACTTGTTGCTTACTCCACAGCCCTTATACTTTGGGCTCCTGTGAATTCATTTTTTGTGCAACTTATTATTTATTTCTCTCTCTCTCATCAACTAATGTAATTCAGCTTAGCTAAAAACAATCCCAAATCCATCCATCCATCCATCCATCCATCCATCCATCCATCCATCCATCCATCATCCATCCATCCATCCATCCACCCATCCCTGCCCTCTGGCACTGGGAGCCATTCCCTGGCTCCTGTCCCTCCATCCCTTGTCCCCAGCCCCTCCCCAGCTCTGCTGGAGCCCCTTCAGGCCCTGCCAGGATCTCTCCAGAGCCTCCTCGTCCCCAGGCTGAACCCCCCCAGCCCTTTCAGGGGTTCCATCCGCCCATCCTCCCTTTCCCCCAAGGCAAATCCATCACAGGCTGGAGCCTGAGCTCAGAAGCAGCCCAAGAGTGCTCAGCCCTGTGCAAGCTCCCGGGAGGATCGAGGCCCCCCCGTCCCTCCTGACACAGCACAGGGAGGGCAGGCAGGCACGGGCATGGCTGCAGGGCCATATGCCAGGGATGCTCCAGAAACCACCCAAAACACCCCACAAAACCCACGGCAGAGTTAGTGAGGCTCACTCCAAGCCACAACACAAACATCTCCCTGGTCCAGGTGCACAAAGCAGGTTTAACTCACAGGTTACTACCAGAAGTGAGGAAGCGAAGGGAGNAGCTAAGAATAGCATAGAAAGAATGAATAACAAAGTTCTGTGTGCAGGGAATCTGTCCCTGAGCTGCTCCTGGGATTGGCCCTTAATGGTACACATGGAAGATGAGCCAATCACAGGTGCATCCTATTGCATTCCACAGCAGCTGAAAACAATTGTTCACATTCTTCTTCTGGGGCTTTGCTTCCCAGAAGATGGACAAATGTGAAAGAAAGGATTTCTGTGAAAAAATGTCTGCGACAGAAAGCATCAAACACTTATACAGCAAATAATAAGCTCATGAATATTCTGTAAGCCAAGCAATCTATAGGTTAAACTATGCCATGAACTCTTCCTCACTCCTTAGGGGTTACATCTCTCTTTTCTCATGTCTCTTTCACTATTTGTTATCATACTACACTAGGCCCAAGGACACGCTATCTTGCAGGTGCAGGACTTGGAATTAGCCATGGTTTTGTACTTTTCCAGTCTCTAGTCAGCTAAATTCCCAACATGTCCCTGCCCATGGAACTGGATGGCCTTCAAGGTCCCTTTCAACCCAAACCAATCTGGGATTCTGAGAAAGCCAACAAAAAGGGAAGATTCCTATGTGCTATATTCAGTACAGAGCAGGGAGGCTAAACACTTAACAAGGCTCTTAAATATTCTAACAGACAGAACATCTTCAGCATCAGCACTCAAAGGACATCCAATGGCAAATCTGAAGGCCCAAGCCAACTTCTCAAAACAAGCTGTCCGTACCCAGCAGCAGAGCATGAATTTTGAATGTGGAAGGGGAAACACTGCAGTGCGTGACTCCTCTCCTCCCAGCTCCCACTGGCTGCTTACATTGATCTATTCAAGGGAAATATCACTTAATGCATTCCTGGAATGAATCTGCTCCAGGCAGAACACAGCAGCTACTCAGCAATGCACTCCTGCACTTACTACCACTCTGCTCCTTGGGGCAGCAAGAAAAACCAACAAATGGCTGTCATGGAAAAATGGAGGGGGGCAAAGTGTAACTCATTTGTCTGTTTTTCCAGCTGTCAATACCTCCTTCATTTTCCAATAAGAGATCAATAACACGTGCAGAGCTCCAACATTCCTGGTTTATGGTGTGCAAAACCATCTGGAGAACATTTTAACCAGAACAAGCACCACAGTGGGGATAAAGCTACTTCTCTTACTTGTCAGAAACTTTGGAAATAGATATCCTTTGAGGCAGTTTTGCTGCTCCAACAGACACTTCAGGGGCACATTTCAGTTCAAGTAATTGCTCCCAGAACACGAGCTGGCAGCCTGGCTGTGTCCCACACTGGGGAAAGCTGCCCTGAATGAGCTGGGTACAGGCACAGAATGCCAGGCAGCTCCTCGGTGGGGCCCCTGGACACTGAT